TTTATTTTACCACCTCCGCAAAACCCCAAGTTGCAACTTGCAACGCTCGGCGGAAATATACTAGCATAAGTTGCATAATTAAATTATTGACCGCTCGTTATAGATGATCTGAAAATTAATACTTTTTATTGTAATCTTCCTAACCGCCCCGGCGATATTAATCATATCATTATACAAGAACGATAAAGTTTTTTTTCGGCTGACAATATTATGTATTATCGACTAAACATATCTGTTTAACTATCTTGTATGTACAACATAATATCTCATTGTGGTACTTATAGCTTACCATCGTGTACGTACAAGAAAGTATCTTCACACAGCATACTATTGTGTACGTAGTAATAATATGCTGTACTTACAAGTATGATAATTTAAAATTAAATTTAAAGGTGACGCGTATGTGCCTCCTAAGTTGTACCATTTTAACCAGATAGCTTAGCAAATGTACCACTGTTGGTAATATGCACGCCCTTACATGAGTTAATCAGCGTGGACATTTCAGATATATCATTGTCTACACTAGTGAATTAGTCAACAATTATAAAACGCGAGACTATATAGCTAGTGGCCTTGGGTGTCGCACTGACTTGAACTTATCTGTTTGTTTAGCAACTTAGTGATGCCATGAGTAACTCATTAATTAAGGTGGCTCGACACATTGTCATCAGCGTCCATTTTCGTGACGTACTTCCGGAAAAAGTACAGCTCGGACTCAATTATCTTGATCGAAATGTGCATGTACACCGTGTCGTCATTTCCGTTTTGCGTATCGGGTATTCAATATCGTAGTGCAAATTATAGTAACACCTGGGCCGTTTGCGTTTAAACGGTCAAACCGATCGGACCACTGTTGTTCGTTTATTAAATAAGGTAGGACCTAGTTATCTGATGCTGCTTTCAGGCGAGCATTGAGAAAGCCTTGCAAGTCTTGCATACACATTTGTAGGTCCGCCAGGATTTATACCCGGAATTGTTACATTTATAAACGGTCAAACCGGTTGTTCCGCATAAACGAACAGGCCCCTGGTAAACAATAGTACACGTGCGTGCCGATGATATGTCAACACCCGATATCGAGATTTTACCGGGAAATGTATAATCACACGTACTTCAGGAATAAAGCTTTCCAATTCATTGACATAAACAGACTCACGGGAAGACAGTGACATGAGACCAGACGACCTCAAGAAGGTCATATAGGAAACACATGGAATGCGGACGTACCAACCTCATATGTGCATATCACGTGCTTACACGAGTTCATAAGCTGAGGGAGTTTCGCTCTGTCGATTAAATCGTGTTTACAAATGTAGTCTACTTACTCTGTGAAAATAATGTTTTGTAAAATATCAAGATACCTATGAAATGCATGTGTGAGGGCACGTGAGAACGGCATACCATGCGATAGCCTCTGGTCACATATGTACCTGACATGTAATTATAAATATACCGTGAGTTAGCGGACTGTGGAATGATGTCCAAAGTGTACATGACTGAGGGTAATTTGGTTCCATTAAAGAACAATAAATTGATAATTTTGATATCATATTTTTGATTTATTTCCATCATTTGTTATATGTAAACAGAGACAACTGTCATTGTGTAAATGTCATCCCTCTGCAAAAAGTTCCGATTTTTTTCAAGGAAGATAACTCTCACCCGGATCAAAGTGATTGTAAAATGTAAAATAAATTAATTATAAAGCCATTGTGTATATTTTGTTCAATTTCCCACTCTATATGTATAGATCTGTGTGTCCTGTTTGCTTTTAGCTTGTAGATAATCACTTTTATCCGTTCAAATTCAATAAAAAACACTTTGTGTAACATGTGTTACATATTTTGCGATAAATAAAATATTTGTAGGATTAATTATAAATGCTTCTTTTCATTTTTTTATTGTTTTTATTGTTCCGAACAATGCCACACACAAAAAAAAACGGAAAATATTAAAAGTGGCGAAATTCAATTTTTTGGTATTTTTTCCAAAAAATTCCCCAAACTATCGGAATGTTTAGATTTTCATAAAATTAACTCTGCATAGTTGCATAACCATTATATGAAAGTTTCTACGAATTTTGCTGGTTAATTGCGAAAGTGTGGAGCCACCTTAAACAGCAACGATGTTATGGTGTTATTTGTTCTTTTGTACGACAAACTTTTACATGAAGCACTGTTCTGTAGGTACAATGTCTGAAGACTAGATATTTCTGTAGGTACAATGTCTGAAGACTAGATATTGTGCGTCCCTACATTTATTTTTTGACAGTGGACCTCTTGTATCCCCCTTGCGGGCGGGACGCCAAATTAGGTAATAATGAACAAGCCCCCTGTGGATTCATACATTTGTCATCACCAGGTTGCCCCTATATTAATACCATCTGACTTCTAAAACACGCTGTTGATAGAGAATTTGAACCGAAACTTTAATTTTCTTTCCAGTACACAAAAAAAGTCTTTGGGCCATACTTAAAATATGTTTTTTTTTCTTGTTAATTAAACATAAAAACAATCCTCAGAAAGCGCATTTTAATGAAAAGGGGGAAGACCCCCTCCCGTACCCTCATCCTCCTCGCGCTACGTGTTCGGGGTGCTGCTGAACGTTGACTATTGAGAAAAATTTCTAAGCCCCCCCCTTTTAGGAAATCCTGGATCCGCCCCTGGACTGGGCTAAGACTAATAACATTACTGTATTTCCAGTTTCACCATTATATTTGTGTTTATACTGTAGTTTTTTTTTATTGCAAAATGGTACTACTGCATCTACATTATCAGACATATTCTATAGTGTTAGATGGGCTCACAATGTAGTGGGAGTTGTCTCCCCTACAGAGAGTTGTTTAGCCAAAAGTGTATTTGAGGGAGCAAAGAGAAAATTAGCCAAACCTGTGAGATCATCACAGTGGATATTTTAAATAAATTGTATGATAAAATATTTGATGAAGATAATCTCTTAAGCCAGAGAATGATCACAATTTCATTGTTATGTTATGCAGGTTTTTTGAGAAGTGCGGAGGTACTGCAGTTGATCAGGTCTGATATTAGAGTGTCCTCCACCCACCTGGAAGTGTTTATTCAACAATCCAAAACTGGTGTGTACAGAGACGGATCTTGGCTCTTAATTGTGAGAACTGGTAACAGATTAAGTCCTGTGAAAAACTTGGAGCGTTATATGAAACTTGCAGGGATTCAAGACGATAGTGGTGAGTTTTTGTTCCGAAATGTGACAAAATGTTAAGACAAGTATATTCTTAGAAAGGACAACAAGCCACTTCTGTATGCAAGATTACGCGAGTGTTTCATAGAGAACTTCTCCAAAGTTGTGGAAGATGTTACCAAATACGGACTGCACAGTTTTTGTGCAAGTTCAGCTGCATGTGGGGGAATATCCGATCGATTATTTAAGCGTCCTGGCAGATGGCGTTCGGAGAATGCGAAGGACGGTTATGTGAAAGAAAGTTTACAGGCCAGGTTGTCGTCATCGCTAAAATTGGGGCTTTAGATTATTAGAAATGGGCAATAGTTCTGTTAGGTCAAGTGGGTGGAGGACGCGTAGAAGTATAGGGTATATTCAAAATTATATTGAAAGACAATTTGAATCAGAAATAAAATAAGTTATTATTCATGTTGAGAATTTAATCTAATATTATTGAAGCTTATATTAAAGTTTTAGTAATGCCCGTTCTTTGTATTCAGGCCGGTGCGTTGTGAACAGCCTATGGGTGTTTGTTGTTGCCACCTGGGGGGTGGGTAATTAGAGAATTTATATTTCGCGCTGTTGACTACAAGGAATTAGCGTGAAATTGTTTTCTCTTATGGTACCCCGATAGGTGGCAACACCTGTAAGGCATGTGTAGCACGTGCAGCAAGTGTTGCTAGGACCTCAGTTCAGGTCAACGCACTTGTTTGGGACGGAGGTATAGAAGAAGAAAAAAAATCTGAAAAAATAGTGGTAAATGTCTAGGAGATACATTGTAGATGTGTAGGATAAAATATACATGACAAATTGTTGTAAAATGTTGTTTGAAATTATTATTAATAATTAAACAGTCACTGGTGCAGGCCGGTGCGTTGTGAACAGCCTATGTGTGTTTGTTGTTGCCACCTGGGGGGTGGGTAATTAGAGAACAGATATTCACTCTGTTAAAATGTATTCATAAAACATTCATAGTTACCTCCCTTGTACTATGAATAATCAAAATGATCAGTATTTTATCAACTCATTCAAAACGCGGTTATCTTTCTCTAGGTCTCATTGCCTTTTTCATTGTTAGATAAAATAAGTCATGCAGCATTTAAAAAAGCTTAAATATTTTGACCAAATTTCGTTATCCCGTTTAGACAGTGCCCATTATAAGCACGTTAAATGAGTTCGTAAGTATTTCCCTCTATTCCTGTTTCCAACATCCTTCTCTTAATTTTGAAAATTAAAATATATATCTTTCTTATTATTTTCGAAGTCAGCATAACCATAAAACCTGTAGTTTTATGCGAATTTTCTTTATTTTTGTATAAAAAATGAAATCTTTTTTTTGAATGACAAGTCAAATATGTCACAGGGCTGATAGGTCATATGACATGGGTTAATATGCAAAAAAATATGACATGGGTATATATTCACTGGATAACACGTACAGTACATTATGTGATAAATAGCTATATAGATCTTTACAGTTCTAGAGCTCAATCAGCAGAGTGTACTGGACATGATTAAGATGGCTCCACACTTCGTCATCAGTGTCCATTTTCGTGACATATACATTGTACGTTTTTACAATTTTCGTAATTACTGAGGAGAGGGCTTGAATTATGTTTTAAACTTTTGTCCATTCCTTTTACTGTTTAAAAACAATTGAATGTGTTTTAAGGATCCCTGTCCCAATGCACTGTGGCTTTTCCTGAACACGGTAACCTCCCTTTGACTTCCGTTAGAATGTAACTGTAGCACTTTCAGGACACTGTTGTTCATTATATTTTGTTTATCTCTTTATTACTTATCCAAAAAATCTATTGTGATGCTAATTCTAGCTACTAAAAGTATAATTAAGTTATATTTTTATATTCCATAATTAATTCCTGTGTTGTCTGGTGTAAAGGGAGGTAAGTACTAAACATGTTTTTTTACAATGGTAAGGGGGGGNNNGGGCGGGGGTGATGGTAAGGGGAGATAAGTCATACAATTTTATTTTTACAATTTATTGACTGGTTAGTAACAAATTTCAGTAAATCCTTTTAGCTTGCAGCTTTATATCAATTACTTTTTTACTGATATTTTCTATATTTTTTTTTAAACTTACAGAAAATTATCATCGTTGAATAATTTATTACCTCAATGTCACCAACTCCCATCTCGGAAGGGAGTCACTTTGCCATAGTTTATATAGGAAAACAACACTATCTGGTATATCTCAATCATTTTACTTGTGTTATAATTCAAACATGTTTCTCAGTCCCCCCAAGCCATCCCCTCCTTTGGTTTAGTTTACTCTAATTTGCATAGGGAAATAACTATTTTGGGGCATTTCGTTGTGTACTTTTAGTCAGAAATTATATTATTCAAACTTTGATGGAATAATTACCATTTGATGTTGAGAAAAAATGGCTTACCCCGGGCCTGAGGGGTGGGGCTAAGTTTAATGGTCAAATTGGCTAAAATGTCAACGATATTGTTCTCCAGACCCAACTGAACTGGAATTAAATGTCTTTTATTCATTGACAGACAGGTCCTTAGATGTTTTATCAAAAATGTGGATTTCATTACCCGGGGTCTACAAAACCCATTATTTTTATTATAGATACGAGTAACGAAGTATCCCCCGATAATCGACAAATAAATGCATGTTATCGATATGATTTCTGGAATACTCCTCATGTTTTAGGCAATTATAACATATAGGTAATATAGGTATAGAGCTATTTCAAACTTTTAACTACAAACCTGAAAAAAAATGTCATTTATATCTTATCCAACAACTTTCTAGGTAATATCTCGTTCCAGCTGAATGGATATTTTTAATTGATGTTTTTATTACAAACCTGTGTATCAGTTTTATGGGGTTTTTGTGTTAATGTATGATATGTAAATGCATTTGTATGTCCTATTCTTCCCCAAACATCAATTGTGGAAAGATAATGCACAGGATAAAAGTTAAAAATGCTACATTCAAACCTTACTTACAACTTTTGCAATCGAATTAATGGACAGTGGTGGTCTTTTGATCGAGTCTTTCAAACTGTGTTATTCTCTATTATTGCTAAGATCTTTTACAAATATTCCTTCTCAAAACATGTGGGCATGTCAAGTCGCATCAAATGCAGACTCGATCATGCCATACACTCTCATGTGGCAAGAGTGATATTGTATTTGATGATGCAGGGTATTTTTGCTCAAAGAATTTGTGAAACACGAGTTGAATGTGGGGCAAATCGACTTGATAGATCAACAGTGTTAATAAATTGAAAATTCGGAGGGGTACAGTGTTTGGATAGGTCGAGTTTGAAATTTCTTCTGAAAATTGCCTTCCCTTCTCCTATAAATTATCTCTAGTTATTAAAAGCAACAGTGCTTTGTATTTGAAAGTACGCGACGTAATGATAATATATATCGATTTTATATTTTCTGAACTTAAGTAATTTTAATAAACTTTAAAAAAAGGGTAAAAAAACCACAACCCAAAAACGATAAAAAAAAAGTAAAATGTATTCCACCTTACACTATATATATGTCTATCAATTGTAAATAGCTTAAATATAACATTGTCAATAAAAGGAAGCTCAAACCCAATTAAGGCTGTCCTTTCTATACCCCTTTGAACTAACTATTCACACGGGGAAAACTATAGCTTACATTCTTGTGATTGACACCCTTTAGACTGCATATAGTTGTAGGTTGTTGCGGAGCCTGAAGACGGACCACACCCCGAGGATGGAGCCCAGACCACACCTGTGGGTCTTTCTAGGTAATATCTCGTTCCAAAAGAGGTTCCAGGTGAATGGATATTTTTAAATGATAATTTTATTACTAACCTTCTCTTCATTTTAAAATTTTTGATCAATGTCCAATATAGGTATAGGTAGGTTGCGGCCCTTGGTCGTATACACACACACTGATGATTGCCAGCGACAAAATCGCAAAATGTGAATAGTTGCAGGGAACTTGGCTGTCTAATTTTTGGCTGGACTATTCCGGGTATGTTGAACTTTCCAAATACATATTGAAAAGGAAAAAGATGGTCACTTTACTAGTTATACGACTTTGAACATTGTCACTGCTCTACGCTAATGTCACGGCTGAACAGTCACCATTACATGTAAATGAACACGTATACATATTCACGTGCAGATTCAAGTCATAGGCGAGCGTGTATTTATTTATAGGTATACTTGCCGGCTCGGTGATATGGCTGATAACACCAGTGAAACAAATAAACAGCAACACAACGATTCATCTTCTTCGAATTTAAGTGCATCACAGTATCAAGAAAATAAAAAATCAAAGTCTGGGCTTGATTTTCAAGTGAACTCTGAGGTTTACTCATGTACTCCCGGGCTGAACACCTTCCGATGGATTTATACCGCAGGGACCCGCGTTTCGCCAAGGCCGGGTATCCACCTAGTAATTATGTATATCCTCCTCCTATTGTGCCCGCCAATTCTGATACTACTCTTGACTTCACAGGATCTTAATGATATAGCATCTGCTGTAACCGACATGATATTTTCTAAATTTGAAACTTTGTTAGCTAAAGCCATAGCACCTATTGAAGCCAAACTAGCTAATGTAAAATCTGAGAACCGAGAGATCTCACAATGCCCAGCGATATTTCAGCAGCCGTCATGTTTATTATGTTTTATATTGGATATTGTAGGAAGGTCAGTGTTGTATTAATACGCTAAGAATTGTGTCTCGTGATGCATGGTAATTAAAGTCCCATCAACAACACAGCTTTCAAAGAGGCTATATAGTGACAATGCCATGCAAATGTAAATATTGTGTTTATACAACAAACATTTTAAAGATGTCTCGAATATGTTTCTCATTTCCTGAATAAAAGTATCCTTTATGCGTTGTATATTTAATAATAAAAAAGATTTCTCATCTGGTACACATTGTGCCAACCACACCTCCAAAACCCAACGTACACAAATCACGTCTCAGATGATAAACCCAATTTGCTTTTACAATTTGGTTTCCTGTTATAAAGCTCTAAAAGTTCATCGTAACAGGCCCTCAAAATACGGTTATCAGTCTTTAATATTTGAAGGACAGGATTCAAGTTGTGAAAGTTATTGACATTTGATTTTTTTAGATTTTGAACAGATAAAGTTATTCTTACGTATACAGACAAAATGTATTTGATTATATGAAATACCGATATTTACACATGTGTGCCAGTTATTTCAAAAGAAGTTTAAAACGATTGTATTTTTCAGCTGTACCTTTACAACAATAACCATTAAATTTTAGTGTAGTCTTCATTTAAACTTATAGGTACTTAGGGATTTTTTTAAACACTAACATTAAATCGATCAGTCACACGAACATATAACGGACCCTGAGTAGAACCACGTCCACGTCCGTAGGGTCTGGTAACATGCTTGTTTCAAGAGTGTGGCTGAGAGTTCTACAATATAATCCGATCTTACTGTGTTCACCTATGCGAAGCCCTATCTACCCTACGTACACATATGTGACCCGGCGTATAGCTTCGTAAAATCGTAAAATTAAATTCACGATAGCTCAATCATTTTTTAACGAATCTACCTGAAGTTTGGTATAAAGGTGTATGATAGTTATATGAATAACATATCTTCTGATGTCGCTTACTTAATCAATTAATTTTAGAGATATAGTTTGAAGACGCTTCACAATCTGTCGAATTCTATTCACACACGTGTGCCAAGCCGTCGATCGTAATAATCAAACACATCCTTACTCGGTCATTTATTCAAATTTCTACCTGAAGTTTAGTATAAAGGTGTATCATAGTTATATGAATAACATATCTTCTGATGTCGCTTACTTTAGCGGGTAATTGTAACGATATTATCTGGCGACGCTTTCTACACTTTTCAAGCTAATACACACATGTGCCACGCCGCGATCGTAAAAAATTCAATTCATCATAACTCGGGTCAATTTTTCAAATATCAAATTGAAATTTGGTACAGAGGGGTATTATTGTCATATTAATAACATTTCTTCTGATGTCTCTTTCTTTATTCAGTATTTTTGCAGATTTTGTCTGGCGACGCTTGTTGTCAGTTGAAGACGCTTGTTGTCGGTTGAAGACGCTTTTAAGTGAGACCCGCCAGTACTTTACAATAGCAATCCTATGCTGTATATGCAAAGGGTAACGACCAAGTTCAAAATACACCATGGCATTATTTACTGTTTTCCTGACACCCAATACGAAAAAATAAATGTATATTTTCAATCTGCGGTGCAGGACTATAAACCCATACTTCACCCCCGTACACTGTCCATATATCACATGTATCGGCACTAGTGCGTACTACGTATATATACTCTCTTGTTTAACAAGCACTTCAAACTACACAACCCCCTGAGCTAATAATTTCCCATCGGGAATGCCCACCAACTCGCTCGCAATTGGCTATCTATCTCCCTTCTCCTTCCTTCCTTACCCCCCCCCCATCTTTTGTTATCTGGAACCCCGATTCACTTTACACATTGACCTCTGGGCTACCCCCTCCCTACCCCACCTCCATCATGCAAGCGTACTTTTCCCTAACAACCCCTAACAAACATCATTCCTAACAACCCTAACAAGCATCATTCCCTAACAACCCTAACAAACACCATTGCATTAACAACCCTAACAAGCATCATTCCCTAACAACCCTAACAAACACCATTGCCTTAACAACCCTAACAAACATCATTCCCTAACAACCCTAACAAACATCATTCCCTAACAAACACCTTTCCCTAACAACCCTAACATACATCATTCCATAACAACCCTAGCAAACATCATTCCCTAACAAACACCTTTCCCTAACAACCGTAACAAACATCATTCCTTAACAACCCTAACAAACAACATTGCCTTAACAACCCTAACAAACATCATTCCCTAACAACCGTATCATACATCATTCCTTAACAACCCTAACAAACATAATTCCCTAACAACCCTAACAAACATCATTCCCTAACAACCCTAACAAACATCATTCCCTAACAACCCTAACAAACACCATTGCCTGAACAACCCTAACAAACACCACTGCCTTAACAACCCTAACAAACACCATTGCCTTAACAACCCTAACAAACATCATTCCCTAACAGCCCTAACAAACACCATTCCCTAACAACCATAACATACATCATTCCCTAACAACCCTAACAAACATCATTCCTTAACAACCCTAACAAACATCTTTCCCTAACAACCCCCTAACACACACCATTGCCTTAACAACCCTAACAAACAACATTCCCTAACAACCGTATCATACATTATTCCTTAACAACCCTAACAAACATCATTCCCTAACAACCCTAACAAACACCATTTCCTAAACAACCCCTTACACGCACCATCGCCTTAACAGCCCCTAACAAACACCATTGCATTAACAACCCTAACAAACATCATTCCCTAACAACCCTAACAGACATCATTCCCTAACAACCCTAACAAACACCATTGCCTTAACAACCCTAACAAACAACATTCCCTAACACCCGTATCATACATTATTCCTTAACAACCCAAACAAACATCATTCCCTAACAACCCTAACAAACACCATTGCCTTAACAACCCTAACAAACCCCATTGCCTTAACAACCCTAACAAACATCATTCCCTAACAACCCTAACACACACCATTGCCTTAACAACCCCTAACACACATCATTCCCTAACAACCCTAACAAACATCATTCCTTAAGGCAATACGCGGGTGAGAGTTTCCGGACCGTTTCGACGATTATAATGCAGTTTGTGAATCCTACCTTCAAATAAAAGAGCTCCTTTGTTGAACGGAGTTGCGCTCCTTGATTGGAAATCTTTTGTACATAGAAACCATGTTCGCTTCGCTATTTCCGCTATAAATAAGCATGATGGTTGACAACGAAAACACATTTCCAAGACGAGGAAGAATTAAGTCAACGCATTTGAAGCAACGAAGCAAATCATTAGATAATTTGCAAAACTGGCGAATGAGGAAAACATCAGAAGAACTGACAGACACCATACTCCTTGAACATGACTACTGTTCCACGTGTCAACCGAGCGAGACTGCCACTGGACTAGGTGACAATGAATCTGTCAATGTTGACGAAATGAATGTCGATGCTGTTGCACACAGCACAAGGTAATTACACGTAAGCATCTAATGTAAACGAATAGATTTGTTTACTCGTTCGTGATATAGATGTAATAAGGTCAAACGTCAAATTCGTCAATACTGTTACATGAGTCAACCTAGTGAAAATGCCGTGGACACTGGATGTGTGACTTGTGAAACGGCAGCACGATTTACCCAAAACCCCCCAAACAAATTCGAGTTTTCTTCCAATATTATATTCAATCAATTTATCACAAAACATACTTGCAATTGGATAATTATTTGAAGATGCTAAACAGTTTCAAACGTACGTTGCACTCTCTAACTATTTGTTACAAATTAAACATTACCTGGAATTAAAATACCAACTCACATTTTTAACAGAAAAACAACGGCTGGAAGGAAGGCAGACGAATTGTGGAGTTGGGGTACTTAGCAGACAAATTACAGAAGGGCTGTCAGAAGTGCCATTCGCCTTTACATCTACACCAGTGCGTGTTTGAACAGTTTTATGGACTGGGAAGTTTACTGAATATTATGTGTACTTGCAAACACATTACACATGTCCCCACCGGAAAAAGACACAAGGCTTCACTTGATTCCAAAACGGCAAAGATTTGGGATGTAAACACCAAAGTTGCTTCAGGGATATGGTAATGACAAAACAAAAATGTAACAAAATGTAAGCAGATCTTGCTTATATATATTTTTCACTTTGTATTACCAATAACAAAATTGTGATTGGATGTTCACTAACATACACACGTCTTACCCCATGTAAGCATTCAAAGCCAAATAGAGTTATACAGACATGCTATCACATATCAGGATATGAGATGACTATAAGTATGCATACTTTTTTTTAGGTATGCTGCATGCTGGGATCGGTGTAAGGAAAGTCAACCTAATATTGTCAAGCTTGAACATACCAAGCATACATCACACAACATTGAAAGCCAGAGAAAGGGAAGTGGGCATTGCTGTTGAAGTGGTGGCTAATAATTCTTGCCAACAAGCAATAGACATAGAAATGTCTTGCATACAATCCAAAAGGTAGCTATGTATGTTTATGTAAACAATTCTCTGTAAAAACCAAATAATATTGCTGAAATAAAGACAATGTTTAGTCTGATGCCATTTGTATTCCCCTACACCAGAAATATGTTTTAGTAATGACAAGGGACCCAATGGAGGAAATATTGCAGCTTCATTTGATGGTGGATGGCAAAAAAGAGGAAGTGGGCATTCTTACAACAGTTTATCAGGCAAGTAATATAATATACAGAAATAAAAATACATGTGCCATATGGCAATCCAAAAGATAATATATTCTAACTCAAAATGGACAAAACAAAGACAGCGCAAGTTTTACGCGATAAAAAGGAAGAAAAATCAAATGACGACGACAGAAAAGCTAGAAAGAAGGATAAATTTGGAAAAAATGGTTTGCATGAAGAAGTTAGAATGTGCACAAGACAGGCACCCTTCGACCACTAAGGCCTCATCAGCTGTGCTTCATAAGCAGCCGGTAACAAAATAGTGGGTGAAAAATAAGTACACAAAACCACAATAATATACAACTAGAAATGTCAGAGCGAATAATCACATTAGCACACATTCAGTGGACTCTGTGCCGACCAACTATAACGTGACTTTCCCGCATTATGTCGCGATAAAATGGTGTATTTTCATTATGATGCATGTAACAATAATGATAATTATGTAATGCCTTCGTAAATAGTGTAATGTAATATTTTGTAGGTCATGCAACTTTTATTGGAAAGGAAAGTGGAAAAGTGCTTGCATATGATGTGAGGAACAAGCACTGTAGGTTCTGTCAACGTGCAGACACATATAATCTGGAAGTAACCCCCCATGATTGTCGAAAAAACTGGGATGGCAGTGCTAAAGCAATGGAGTCAAGTATGTGCGTTTCCATGCTGAAAGATCTTCAGAAAAAAGGATCACCAGTCCAAACCATTATAATGGATAATGACTCGACATCGATAGCAAAAGCTAGATCTGAAGTAGATGGAAGTATCCAAAAAGTTAGCGACTTCAATCATACAAAAAAAGATTTCACAAACAAATTATACAGTCTTCAATCCTCGAAGAAGTACAAACTTCTAAATAGCAAAACTATTTGTCATCTTGGAAAATGCTTTGCATATGCAGTGAAACAGAACAAGGAAAACAAAGACATTTTGAAATCTAATCTGAAGGCAATAGTTCCCCACACGTTTGGCGATCATGCAAATTGTCAGGAATTCTGGTGTGGATATGTTAGAGATCCAGAATTATATGTACCAAAGCAGTTACCATACAAACGATATTTAGTTGGAGAAGAGCTGCGAACAGATTTAGACAACATCTTTCAGAAGTATGCCGAACAAGCTGATAAACTGATGCTGCTTGGTAGTTCCCAAAGGAATGAAAATTTCAACAATACAGTGGCAAGTAAAAATCCCAAGTCCTTGCATTATTCGTGATCCGAAAGTACATCTTTCCGGGTTGCTGCAGCTGTTGCACAGACTAATGATGGCGATGTATATATTCAAAATGTAAATACATTTTTTTTTATATATTTTGAAGAATATAATAAAATGTTATAATAGTATAACCTATCTGGTAACCTGTCTCATTTGAAAATCTGTGTAGTGTGGAAAACTGTCCAATGTGAAAAACTGTCTAATGTGAAACCTGTAAATCTAATAAGTTTAGCAAACAACTAACATTTATTTGTATAGTATTCTTATAATTTCAGGTAAACACTGAACTTTGCTTGTCTCCGGGACAACATACTTCAAAAGCAGTAAAGAAAAATGATAGGAAAAGACAAGTGGTGGGGACTTACGAATGCAGCTATACTTACAAAAAAAGGAGGATTGAAAAAAAGCAAACTAAGAAGGAATCCGATTCTACCAAAGAATTACGTGAAGGAATTACCTAACAGTCGGGGGTTAGTTTGTCTGCAACTGTGAGCGATAGTACTGAAGAAATACCTGCACCAACATCTGAGCCTACAAACACTCCTTTACCACCAGGAAAATATACTTGGCTGTATTTTGACTTGGAAACAACTGGACTAGGTATATATAAATATATTTGCAGCTAAAATTGATATGTTAGTTTACATATTATTGATATTTGTATCGTTCAGTTTAGACAGTTTTGCACTGTTGATATATGTAAAACAAATTCAAACAAACAGTAATTAGCTAATTCTATTGCATAGATGTATATATATTTTGATAGTATTGTCTACATATTTGAAGTGCTTACATGCATATTTTTATTACTTGTACAGATATACAACATATTCAATTTTTCTTTCAGGTCTTAGTGATATTGTACAGTTATCTGCGAGGACGGGTGAGCAGACATTCAGTCGGTATGTGTTACCAACCAAGCCTATAACAGAGGAGGCAACTCGCATCACAGGCTTAGCAGTAAAAGCTGGACATTTATACAAGGATGGGGTATTGGTGGAAAGTGTGTCATTGAAAACCTGTGTAACCGATTTTGCTGAATGGTTATCAACATTTCCATCCCCAGTACTGGTCGCACACAATGCAAAGTTTGATGGAATGGTTCTTTCTTGTGCATTGCTTGCCATACAAGATTCTGTATTATCGAAAATCATATGTGGTTTTTCAGATACACTTGCTATCTTCAGGAAAGAACTGTCAGGGAGAAAATCTTACAAGCAAGAGTGTCTTGTCCTTGATGTTTTAGGTGAAACCTGGAATGCACATGATGCATGTGAGGATGATAGACTGCTACAGAAACTAGTGTTGTGTGTAAAAGTCAGTGATGAGGTATTCATTTGTAACAGTACGACATTAGCAAGTATGAAGGATTGTGTTGTGTACAAGAGAAAAAAGGATAATAATTTGCCATCTTTCACTATTTTGGTGGAGAGAAAGGTGATTTCTGCTTTTATGGCAAGCAAGATTGCAGGAAGTGGTTTGTCAGTAAGACATATCCAGTTAGCCTATAGTAGAGATGGGAGTGATGGCATCAGGCAGTTATTTGCTGAGCTACACAATGGGAAACCAAGGATAACAAAGTGCATCAAAATTGTTGAAAGTGTTTGTAGATATCTAGAGGGATTGTAAATACACAGATAAAAAAAATCATGGAATTTCCTTCTTTTTTATGTTGTAGTTCGTGTTTTGTAATCCATATGCATTTTTGAGGAAATTTTGCAAGGGAGGCTACTCTTAGAACACCTAAAAATAAACATTTCATGCCAAAAAATGTCTCAACAGGTTTTGGAAAGGTAAATTGTTTTTAAAATTCTTTGCAATTCTTCTTTACATGAGAGGTTTCCATACAAAAAAAAAATAGAAAAAAATATCAAGCAGTTTTTGTGATATTTATTTTTTTGTAAATTTTCAACAAAATTCATATTACATAATTTCAATTTTACTAAAATGTAGAAGGTGTATAACAATTGTTTCTTATTATAATGATTACTGATATACTGTTTCATGGTTGTGAGGTTACAATTGTTTTTTTGGGGAAATTATAGTTGCATTGAGATGAATTTGTGAAAGTTACCAAATTTCTCAATAAAGTGGATTTTCACAAAAAGTTAATAATAAATTTCTCTCAAAACCTCGCAAAGTATTTATCAATGAATATGAAATGTACATGGAAAAAATCTTTTTTTTTTATCAAGTAGTTTTTTCACCCGCGTATTGCCTTAACAGCCCCTAACAAACACCATCGCCTGAACAACCCCTAACACGCACCATTCCCTAACAAACACCTTTCCCTAACAACTGTGACAAACACTTTTCCCTAACAACCCCTAACAAACATCATTCCCTAACAACCGTAACAAATATCATTCCTTAACAACCCTAACAAACATCATTCCCCAACAACCCTAACATACATCATTCCCCAACAACCCTAACAAACATCATTCCCTAACAACCCTAACAAACATCATTCCCTAACAACACTTAACAAACATCATTCCCTAACAACCCTAACAAACATCATTCCTTAACAACCCTAACAAACAACATTGCCTAAACAACCCTAACAAACATCATTCCCTAACAACCCTAACAAACATCATTCCCTAACAAC